CCCAGTGGTGAATATGAAATAAACTCAAAATCATCCATGCACAAAGCGACCTACCAAACTTGTTTTCAGCAGCGCGTGTTTTTCCCTTTTAATGTGAAGCGAGAGGATGATGATGAGTTTTCATGTCCTGAGTTCCACTGAGCAGCAGTCGAGATGTTTTAAAGCGCCGGGCTTTGTGTTCCACACACACGTATATATTAATATTTGTCATTGTTCACGTTCGACAGGAGTAGGAGAGTTACTGCAAATAAAATCAATGCTTTAAAAAGTGAACATTGGTAACACTTGACGTGTGGTAAAAATACTTTTTTTTTTTGGTCCCAATGAAGCACCATGTCGTTGAATCATTCCTCTGCTGTATCTCGGCAGGGGGGTTGGGGATGGGGGGGTTCTGGAACCAAAAAATAAGTATTTTAAAAAAAAATGTGAGATGGAAAGCAGAAATTGTATAAATGCTGTGCCCATCTTTAGGGATCTATTTTTTTATTTTTTGCGGGGCTAATGTAGCAGATGTAGTAAGTGGCCACTCACAGTCAGTGCTTCATGGTGCTGCTCACCACTGCGGACCATCAATGGGAGACAACGTTGGCTTGGCTGTAACCGTTTCCTACCAAACAGGAACAAAGCACCGTGAGCTTTTCATTTCAGACTTCATGTTGACCTTCACATTTGATCATGAGCGGGACCCTACCTGTGTATCCATTAAGGTGGCTGTGAAATGCCCCGTGTGCGGGTGCGGCGGGGTCATGGTCGTAGTCAAGGCGGCGGCGTTTGTCCGGCGAGCAGTTGTTCATGTCCAGCCTGTCGTCCTTGGAGTGACGCCGTTTGCGGTACTCGCGTTCTTCGCTGCTGCGGGCCTTGTGGCCGCGGCCGTCTGGACTGCGCTGCTTACTCTGGTGCCGGCTCTTTTTCTTCTTTCTTCCTTCGTAGCCTTGCTCCGAGTCGGAGCTCCTGGCAAGAGATTGGGAAAACAAACAAACAAAGAAAAAAAAAATACCGTGGTCAGTAACCAATACTTTGAAATAAGGCTCGTATCGGCTGGTTATTTTACCAGAAAAAAAAAAGTGACTAATTTAACAGATTTGAATTGTATCTATAAAAGAAAAGATTTTTTTTTAAAAATATGTTAACAGGACAAATCCTAATTAACAGATTTTAAATAAAAATAATTCAAATAATTATTTTTATTATTTTATCATTTTATTATTTGAATTAAAATAATTCAAAGAATTATTTTTATGATGAAATAAAATTCCAACCACTTTTTTTTAATAAACAAAGCTCATCTCCCGATGACCTGTCCCATCAGTCCATTTTAGAAGCCAAACATGGCACAAATGTTTACTCACCCCAGCTCTAGCAGGACAAGTAATGAAAACAAAACAAGAGTGTGTCCTGATCGGTTCAATGACTCACCCACTCTCACAATATCTCTCTTTATCCTTGGACTTCTTCTTCTTGCTCTTCTTGTGTTTTTTGCTGTGGCGCTCCTCAGAGCTCACAGACCGAGCGCTCCTTCGAGCATTTTGGTCCTCCGACCCCGGAAGAGCGTGCCAATATGGTGACCTGTTGGGCGCGGTCGACGATGACAGCGTCTCTCTATAGAGGTGGTGGTCCCTGTCCCTGCAGTCGTCCCTCATCCTGCGAACTTCCCAGCCGTCCTGCTGCTGCTGCCGCCTCCAGTGGCCTTGCGACTTCTGTCGATAGGCGTGATCGGAACTTCTGCGCTGGTAATCGCGGTCTTCCCTGGATCGGTGGTGGTGGTGATAGAAGTGGTAGTGGTGCGAGCACCGGTCGCGGTCCCGCTCCCTGGGGTGGTAGGCGTTCCTCTCCCAGCGCCGCTCGCTCTCCCAGTCCCGGTGGTAATAATCGGGATCCCTGTATGAGCAGCGGTTGTAGTAATGATGGTCTCGGTAGTCCCGTCTATAGCGATGAGTCTCCCGCTCCTGACTCCTGTCCCTGTAATATTTCTCCCTGTCCCTGCTCCAGTCGGACGAGTACTGTCGGTCTCTGCCCCTTTCCCGCGACGACAGCCTTTCGTAGCCTCTGGAAGCGGGACTGGGCCGGAGCTGCTCCTTGGGATCCGCGCGCCCTTCGGAGGCCACCGCCGATGAGCTCTTGGTCGGCGGGGCGTCCGCAACTTCATCGGGAACCTTCGGTAGAGCCGGGCATGCGACGCTGGCGCTCTGAGAGGAGTCGGGCGAGGCGGCCGCAGGACTGATGGACGCAGACTCGCTAGATGCAGAGGAATGGATTTTGTCGGCAGAGGTGGCTTCGCAGGCCGTTTGCTGAGGCGGGGGATAGGACACACGTGCGGCCCTTAGGTCGGGAGAGATTTTCTGGCTTTCGCTGGCAGCAGGTTGGGCCGGAGTAGCCTGGGACGCCTCTTTGCTGCAAGCACTACAACAAGACATGAAAACAAAGTCACGAGTGGACGAAAGTGAACCCTGTGCAGTTAGGCGTTGGCTTTTTGGGGGTGAGAGCAGCTGTCCTCTTTTATTCATTAAAAAAAATCTGTTGTGTTCCCTGTTGTAGTGCCATTGCTTTTTTTTTTTATTGTGTGTAAATGCCAAAATGTGAGTTGAAGGACCTAATACGAAGGCTGATGATTTTTAAAATAATTGTGATTGACACTCTCATTGGGTTGGCTACCTTGGTTGACAGTGGCCAGCGTCCAATCCATTCACAGTCAAAGTCCCCTCCGACGCCAAACTTCCATCAGTACTGACAGGGACCTGAAAGGCAAAAATTAAAGTCATTTTAGAGTGGTGTGTGTGACTGCACATTGGATCTCGTTACATTGTAAAGACGTAATGCAGCGTGTACCAAAAAGGAAAAGCACAGCGTACCTTTTCAACACTATTATGCCCATTAACTTTTTGAAGTCCATAATGGTGTCCATTTTGGATGGTTTTAGAAATGCTGTGTGTAATTCCATTCAAACCGTTTCCGTTCTGGTGCGTATCAGAGTCCCCATTGGCCAAATCATCCCCTGTTCTTTTGTTTCCATTCACGTGACTCTCCACTGCGCAACCGTTATCCAGGGGTCCGCCGTTCTCCTGGTCCGACTCCTCTGACAACTCTTGGCTGTACGGCACCAAGAAGGACGAGCCGTTCCCGCCGCCCTGATGATCCCCGTTACTGCGCGCCGCGCCGTTGATGTGGTTAATTTGTCGTGGGATGAAGCGAGCATCTGAGGTAGACTGGGAGGAGGAGGAGGCTGAAGAGCTGGAGGACGAGCTGGCCGAGGAGCTGCTGGCCGATGACGAGGAAGAAGCCAGGCGAGTCAGTTTGCCTTGGCCGATGCAGAAAGACAGCTTCAGGCGCTTCTCGTGCTCCGGGATCGCTGAAGGCTGGCTGGCCACCAGGTGCGACGCTGAAGAAGAGGAAGATGCGCCGTGGTTCGGTTTTCCGGCAACACTGTTGCTGGTGCTGGGCTTTGGACAGTCCCTCAGAGATCCGTTGCCATTCATGTGGGGAGGATTCTGCGGAGGGGACAAAAACGTGATCAAACGCTGACTGTGTTTTGTTTTCAAGCCATCAGCCATTTGGTTTGAATTCCTTTCAATAACATCGGGACGGCGAAAATCATGATCGTCGCAGTGTGAAATGTCGATCTCGTTTTGCGTTCGGCAATACCTTGGTCATGTGCGGGGGCAGCTGCGGTCCGATGAAGCCGACATTGCTGTTGTGATGGCTGGCGCTGTTGATGCGGGGTATCACCACGGGTCTCGGCGATGATTGACCGGGTACGGCTGAGTTATGGGTCATGTGACCATTGTCCCCTTCTTTCTTTCCATCACCGGACCTTGTGAAACAACAGGATGGCGGAGACATCGCCAAGGATACGAGAGATGAACGCAGTAAATGCGAGAGAAGACAGACGTGTCAAAGGAAGTCAAATGTGAAGGCTCCACGTCGTGATTTGATGTTTAAAGTTGACTCACTTGATGTAGAAGAGGACATAAGCCTGCTGGTTAAGAACAGACCTGATGTCGCTGACGGTCACAGAGGAATCATTCATCTGAAACCACTGACCGTTGCTCGCCTGGGAGACACGGAAGAGGGAGAGGCAACTTTTACAAAAGGCAACCGCAAATGTCTGCAAACTGGCCCCGAGTCGACGCGGTACCTTAATATAGCAGAAGTAGTGCCCGGCGTGGCAGCTGAATCCAGAGTGGACAAGAACAGCAAACAGCCCGTACAGCTGCGCCTCTCCTTGCGACTGGGACATGAAGGGCCTCAGGTCCAGGTACTCGAGATATTTCACATCCTGATGAGCAAAGACAAGCTGATAAATATGAAAATAACTTGCAAAGACTCAAGTCAAGTTACTGGAAATTACTTTAGTGATTTTTCCTCCGCTGAAGTTGGCAAAGCGTTTCAGCGAGAGGGTCAGCACGTTGGAGCTGCGATGGATCGTGAATCTCTTTGAGGCCGTGACCATTTTTTTGCACCTGGGAAGAAACAATTTCCCTATTAGGGGTTGCAAAACAACGGGTAAAGCCCGCCTTCCGAAAAATTTATCTGTGTACAAAAACGTACTTGGAGCACTTGTAGGCATTCTCGCCGTCCAGCTGCTCTGGCTTGACAAACTGCTCAAGGGCCTTCGAGACACTTGGTGCCATCTGCAACGACAGGCAATCTACAGGTTTAAAAAAAAAAAAAAAAAAAAAAAAAAAAACCTCTCCAAAATGTGCAATTATTTGGACAAAGCAAACTTGAAAATGATTCAAATTATTCTGTGAAGTTACTTTGATTTCTAGAGTGATGTCCAGAAAGGGGTCGAATGTATCGGAGACTGCTTTGCAGTTTAAGCATTTAACTGAAAAAGAAACAAAAACACAAAAGGTCACCAGATTGAACATGCTGCAAACATAAATAAAACCCATAAACCGAGTTCACAAACTTACCTCTGGACCTTAGGTAGCCACCAAATACCTGATGAATGAAAGAGGTTGCCTGCGTTTGCCTGTCCAATCTGCCATAAAACAGATGAAATGCAACAATGGATTATTTTTTTTTAAACCTGCGTGTTCAATGAAAATCTGCATCTCAGGACAACAACCTACTTGGTTCCAGGTAAGCAGGACTTTTGCATAGCATCCACCGTGTACCTAAGGAATTCATGGGCATCCTCCTGGCTTCCATAGCGGAAGTGCTTTGCAATCCCTGCATTGGGGAGCAATTAAGCATTGGTCAGGATCCCCCGCCCAAAAAACACTAAACTTGACTGCAACTCCCAAACCGCGTTCCCTCCAAATTCACGAAAGTAAACAGATAAACAGCGCCGCCTGTCGTTCATTCTGGGTAACATACAAATGTTTGAGTTCCCCAAAGCACTTACTTTTGAGCTCATTCAGCACACCGATTGGCTTTATAACATTCCCAGAGTTGGCAAAAACCTGAATGATGTGGTTTTGCATGGTGCACATCATACAGAAGCCCGGCTCGTGACCTGTGGCAGAACCAAAAGAAAAAGCATGACGCACGACTGCAGCTAGAAGCCGGACGGGACTTGCCATGAGCACCAAAGGAAAAACCGGCGTACATGTTTTCGAATGCTCTCGCGACAGCATGTAGTTGGCAAATGGCGGCGTGTAGGTGAGACACTGCAGAGCTGAGTTGAGGAAACAAGTGTTGCCCATGTTCTGGAGCCCGGCGCCTATGCGGTGAACCTGGTTCCACTTTAGGCTAAGACGTTCGGGAGAGAAGAGGACCTTCTGCGGCATGTCAATGCCATCGCCGCTGCACAACACTGGACACATAACAGACTAAAATTGGACTTGTGCGTATTTCTCAAGGGCAGCACAGTAACCAGTTCCTGCTATTGTGCTCCATTACCTATCATGTAAATGGCAAGGAAGCTGGGCCATTATGTTCGTGTGTTTAACATGTTCTAACAACAAAGGGATAGTGTAAAGCCATATGAAGATAAAGCACGGCTTTTGTGACACAGCATTTTTCTATTTTCTATTCTTTTGAGGCTCATCTTCATATCACATCACATAACTTTTTAGCTTGGGTAAAAACATTACCTCGACTTAATAATGGAGCAATGTGTCATTTAAAAGTAAGAATAGGTCATCCCACAACATGTATTTGTGAGTTGACATGAGGCACAGATAAAGACTGATCAGCTCAGATTAAATTCTTTAAAATTATATTGAAGCAGACAACACACTCATTTGTCCCCCTACCTTGCTCTTTGGGTCGGTCCACGGAGGAAGGCGTGCTATTGTAGACGACAGCGCCAGGCGTCGGGCCCAAGCAGCCCCCCGGAACCTTCAGCCGCGGCGAGTCAGTGGGGAGGGTGGGGCCCACTGCCCAGCTGCTGGAACAGCTGCTGTCCATCCCGTCTCCACTGGTGAAGGGGGATCTCTTGCAACCGACTGACTCGTGGTCAGAATTTTCGGAGGATCTGTCAACAATGGTCATAGTTCATTGCTGCGGGTGGGGGAAACATAAAAGATTTTAGGAGAGGCAAGAATCACAGGTTTATTCCAAAATTCTTTCGAGCATGTGTCCTCAAATGTTTGCTTCATGAGTGAGTTGACTTTGACAAGAGGCAGAGTACACCTTGGATTGGTTGGTGGCCAATCACAGAGCACATATTGACAACCTTTCACTCAGATTTACACTTCTGGAAATTTTGGAGTAATCAATGGAGTTAACATGTATTTAAGAATACAGTATATAGAAATTAATTTATTACTAAAGCAAATTTTGGCCTCCATTTGTTGTTTATGGACTGTTCTCTAGTAACTGGTAAAGTGACGTCGCGGACACAATTTAATTAAGCACGCGAAAACAATGAGTAATAGATCGTTACCTAATCTCACTTTCATAGTTGTTACAAAACAGGAAAAAAAATTATGCTGAATGCGATCACGTGTGAATGTGATCATTTGCACGTAGGAGCCTCCACTTCACAAACGACATTTCTCGGAAGAGACTTTGACAAGAGGCAGAGTACACCTTGGATTGGTTGGTGGCCAATCACAGAGCACATATTGACAACCTTTCACTCAGATTTACACTTCTGGAAATTTTGGAGTAATCAATGGAGTTAACATGTATTTAAGAATACAGTATATAGAAATTAATTTATTACTAAAGCAAATTTTGGCCTCCATTTGTTGTTTATGGACTGTTCTCTAGTAACTGGTAAAGTGACGTCGCGGACACAATTTAATTAAGCACGCGAAAACAATGAGTAATAGATCGTTACCTAATCTCACTTTCATAGTTGTTACAAAACAGGAAAAAAAATTATGCTGAATGCGATCACGTGTGAATGTGATCATTTGCACGTAGGAGCCTCCACTTCACAAACGACATTTCTCGGAAGAGGAAAAAAAAAAAAAAAAACGTCCTTCTGTCGTCATAAAAAAAAAACGATCATGCGTTATTAAAATTATTCAAGAGTTGGCCTTTAAAAGCTTTTACTTTGAATTTGCCGTTGGATAAAGTTACAGAAGACAAGAAAAAAAAAGACAGGGCGAATTTCCTGGTCGGGAAGCAGCTGTTCCCTCCCACTCCTCCGTTACTGACTCACGTTGGCGGCTAGGCCTGTCGCACGCACAGCCATTCAGTTACAATAAAGCATTCCTCCAACACGAGTAGCTCGCGACGGGAACACGGCATTGGCTCTCAAACATAGCCCCGTGCAGTCAACCGAGCCCAAATAACCGCCGGCGTGAACGTTACATGGACGAACGCCATGGAAACGGCGACCATTACGCAAAAGCTAAGAGCGGGGCTAAAACGTCGTGCTAACGTCGTTAGCCGACTTAGCACGATGGACTGGGGGGGCTGACATGGCGGAGAGCACGGCGACCCCCTTGGCGATCAAACAACACACCGCGGTTGCGGTTTTGGTATAATCAAAGCGTTTTGGTTCGACAGAATTGGGGGGTGGGGGGTTGGGGGGCATAGTCCAAGAACAAGTCGCTAGCATAGAAAGGAGGGGCTCGATCGACACCGGTAGCCGTGTGTTCACTGCGCTGCTCCAGTAGACATGACAGGACCGGTGTAAGGATGCCACAACAAACCCGAGCGGCTCGGGTCCACCGCTTCGCGACGGCCGCGTCGTTGAATCCCCACTCGAGCATAAAGGCGTCGGGGCACTCACCTGGAATGTGGTTAAAAGCACGTTCGTAGCGATTGTAAAGCCATTCCTTATTTCCAAGCGGGTGTCCGGCGGTGAACAATGACGTAGATGAGCCTTCCACGGCAACATCCGGGTATCGGGGATAAAACGAGTGCCGTGATTGGCTCCCTCCGCCGTTTGACTGCGTTTTGTGAAGCTCAGTCGCACGTTCGTGCCGCCGACCTTTGTGTACATGCACAATCATCACCGTGCGCGTTCCACATACAAATCAACTCATAAATGACGCCGATGGATTCGAAAAATATTTCGTCTGACGTTATCGCTTACATTACCGTATCTTCGTAACCGATCGATTGTCTTTTAGAAGTGGGGGCTCAAATATTTCAAGTTCAAAAGGCTCAAACTACGTCGCTCACTTCCAGACCACATTAAAACACCACAAAGGCATCAAACATACAGGTTGCAGACATTTAACATTAATTCATTCTCCGAACCGAATACAAAAAATACAACAGTAAGTGATGAGGTTAATCAGATAGATTATACTAGACGACTGAATTAAAAGCGTTATTTTAAAGTACCTTGCTGATAAAATACCCATTTTCTATACTACTTATCCTCATTTGGGTCACATCCCAGTTGACAAGAAAAGCATTTTTCGCCCCTGGGCTGGTTACCAGTCAATCCAAGTGTATATATGGCAAACCATTCACACCTGCATTGTATATAAAAAGTCTACACACCCTAGCTCAAATGTCAGGTTTTTGTGGTATTAAAAAAATTAAACCGATATAAATCATTTAGATATAGGCTGTGCACAGAATGAATCAACCACATTGAAACTAATGTTAAATGGAAGTTAGCACATACCTGCTCCCATCTAAAGTGTGTCTGAAATTTAGCATGTTCGAGCAGGCTTTTCCTGTCATTTTATTGTACGAGCAGAGGGCTAAAGGTTGTGTGCTAACACTTGGATTTTTTTTCAATGTTCTAGCTTGTGGGAAAAAAATGCTCTAAAGCATGCTGTTGTAGGGGAAAGTAGTGAGCAGTGTTGCATTCCCATCCAAACATTCCTTTTGGAATTACGGCCCCAAAGGTCAAACTTTTTTTCATGGGGAAATAATCTCCCAAACACATGTGGCAAAATGTGTCACAGCATCTTGTGCATTCAATTTCCTCTTGAGGGATGATGAAATACGAAAAGAAATTAATTCCACAGATTTGTGTATTCATTCAAATTTGTCAAATTGCAAAAGTAACTTGATGTGAAGTCTATACAGAATAGTGCTATATGACAAAAAAAAGAGTTTGCAAAAGGTCTGTTATGCATTTGCTTTTCAAACTGCTAACACAGGGAAAAAGGAAAATCTCTGCCCAATATCTGTAAAACATGTCAATAACTTAATATGACACAAACCATGTTTTTAATGCACCTTTCCACACACGCTTGCAAGACCACACGCATAAATTAAGACACTAAATTCAAGACACATTATGAACCTTTAAAGTGTCAGGTGTTTTCCCAACTCTGACAATTTGGAAAAGTGCTGTGTGAACTTTGGAGCCGCTGGATTTGTTTCCTCAGATGAAGGATTTCTTCCTCTTGCTCTTCAACCTTTCTCTGCAAACCACAGATTACCTGAATGAAGAAAAAAATATGACAGGAAAATTTCAATCAACTGGATTAAGTTAAAAACATTCGAAATACAAGAACACATTTCACTCCATAAAGTTACATACCACATCTTTATTGCAGAAGAGTTCGCTCTGGAGAAGCTGACTGGTCGTGGGCCGCACGCTGGGCTCAATACTGGTCAGCTTCAAAATGTAATTGGCTAGGACGGGCCATCTGTTGCTGAAGCAGTCTGGGATTTTGCCTTCTCTCAGGTCCCCGAGTGTCTGGACTCGCTCCATCTCTGTTCCGAAGGGCTGGAAAAGCTCAAGCGCAAGCACCCCGATGCTGTACATGTCCGACTAGGAGAGAAAAGACAAATGTTAAGCAAAGTTGTTATTTATTTATTTATTTTTTGATCAGCTATCATACGGCAACTATAAACACCTTTGAATCATAATGGGGGCTCTTCAGTTGCTCTGGTGACGCGTAGACAAATGTACCGACGCCCGTTGTATGTGGGGAATCTGGGAAAAAAAACCCAACAATAAACATGATTTGAGCCCAAACAATTTACTATTGTGGTGTTAAAAAAATGTGACAAACAATGAGGCATTACCACTGAGGGGAGCAATGACGCTTTCATGACTATCGAGTATGAGACCACTGCAGGCCAAACCAAAGTCGCCGATGCGAACGTGACGGTCGTGACCGTTGAGGAAAATGTTCCTTGGCTGTCAAGAAATAAAAAGAAGAATTAGCCTCAAGTGCCACTATTTAAAAAAAAAAAAAAACACGATGCACAAACTCACAATAAAACATTTACCTTGAGATCTCTGTGAATTATTCCCCGCGAGTGAATGTATTCCACCCCTTCCAGTATCTTTCTTAGCAGACTGAACGTGTGCTCAGCGTTCACACATCCATAAGGACCTGGGAAGAATGTCAGAAACGTTTCAAACCGCCAAGTTCAACAAATGTGGCGCATTCTCTTGTATTCGGAATATGAAATGGATGCATTGCGAATACATCTTGAAGCGCGCTCCTCTCTGGGCTTCAAATTCCTCTCAGTCATCCAGTCCTTGAGCGAGCGTTCGCAGAGCTGCATTTGGATGTAGAGCATCAGGTGGAGGTGGACCTGTGCACAGCAGAGACCATAACATGATTCATAAATGACTCGGAACATCCTCGGGGATGAATCAAATACTTATCCGTCAACCAAACTTAATTTTAAGAGCAGCAATAGGAAACACTCTGCCCCTTCGGAGCTTTTTTTGAGAGCGGGGAGCAGCTGCCAGGAGTGTCGGGGTAAAGCAGCTCAGCGAGGTAAGTCGAGGCAAGGCCGGCATTTAAAGATTTAAAAACTGCTAAAATCCTTTTCAAGTGGACTCTCAATGTGTCACATCATTTACAAGACAGAGTGAAAAAAAATAATGATAATAATAGTACTACTCACAAAAAAATCTACGGAAATGACACCGTGAACGGATTTTATTGCACGTACCTCTTTAGCGGGACTCGCCGTGCGTTTATCGGTCTGATACTGCTCACACTTCTTCTCGACACATGAGAGGCTGTTGTTGTTGACCTCAACGCTGCTCCTGCTGCCCTCCGCCTCAAACAGTCCCCACGTGTCCCCACCCACGGC